ATGTCTTCACTGCTCAGTACCTGTTTCTGTTGTGTAGTTACTGGCGTGCCTTATGTGTGCCTATTCTGTGTAGGGTTTTATCCTAATAAACGTGAGTATATGAAATGTGGATGCACTTCAATAATGGCCCCATCTAACTACGCGAAAAACGGTGGAAATTAATGCACACACCTAATAGTAAAACCTTATAATCGGACAATGTTCTGAACGAATCATAGCCATAAAGAACCTGAAGGCGGTTCGAAGCTGTTGATTGGTGGTTCACTCGGTCAAACGTAACAACTACTAGGACAGTTGCAACACCGGACACAAACTCGAGCGCAGAACATTACAGCAAAGAGAGTAATCTTTGGCTCCACCAGAGCTCACGTCTCACTCAAATATGTGAACAACATAGGCTGAATGAGGCGTCCCTGACAGTCGCAGTATACGAGCTATGCGGTGACCTTCAAAAAATCCACAAGAAGGACGAACTCACGAACGAGTTCACTTGTAATTGCCATGCACTAATTTCGATTGTTCAGCTTGGGTTTCGAGTGTGGATATGTAACGCTACCAATATCTTCATAGCATCAATCTCGTTTTCGTGCGGGGTAATTTGCATTTAATGTCGAGATCTTCCCTTTGACGTTCCTCCAAACGGTGATTCCCAAGTGGTGTGAGAGGGCTGTCCCGCTTTCCAAAAGCCAGGTGTTCTTTGACGCGGACATCCAACTCTAATCTGCTCGTGCAATGCATTGTCGCAACCCTCTGATGGTCCTGTCTGGTATAAAGGCTAACTGAAGCTGCACCATGTTTCCACTATTTCTCGGAGAATGCTTTCTTGAGCGTTGTCCACCATATTGTCTCTCATAAACATTCAAGCTCCAACCTCAGATGTCTTTAACCATTTGTTCGCGTCTCCTCTCGCTCATCCTATCCTGTACCTACCCCAGTTACTGCCCTGTGCATGTTACGAACAAACAATTTTACGGCTCTAAGATCAGAATTTGCGTGAAGGGATGTTCTTGAAGCCGTTTTCCGATACCGTTTCACTATGTATATTTCTTTTGAAGTTTTATGATCTAGGTTTTGAGTTAAGGAACCCAGCTATTAGGCGGTACTTCTCGTGTGAACTCGCTAGTATGGACTGCCGATTGAGACTATTGAGTAATACGTACATCTCGAGCTGCAGTGATGTAATTATGCAGCAATCATCGAAGCACCGACAGTGCATAATGGGCATGCATCCTATAAAGCAACTCGCCATTCTATCCTGCTCATAAAGCATTAGCTTGGTGACCGGTGCTAGACACTGACCCATAGCAAGTCCCTTGTTCTGGAAAAGTAATGTTCGCTTCACTCAAAATATTACAAATGAGGCATTCCTTTATCAGAGCCATAATATAAGCCTCGTTAAGTCCGTACGAAACAACTTCTGCATTATGCTGACCAAGCATTTCGAAAACGGCTGAAAAGCTTGGTTGCACCTGATGTTAGTATAAAGCGAAGTATATCGAACAACTCTATCACACACTCTTTGAGCCGTACATGAAGATAGGCGATCAAGGAATTCTTCAATGTCGGACAAGTGTGACGGATATGTCAAATAAATTGGTCAACATTTGCATTGAAGATCCAAGAAACACGGCCTGTTGACCAAAGTACACAGCTGGTGGTACATCTTACTTCAG